CAGTAGTAATCCCAGTAAATCCCCAGCCACCACCTGGATGTTGGCAACCCTAAGCCCAGTGGATTAGGTGACACGTTCAGGAGAATGAATGCCTGGATCCTGTTACAGGAGAAGGCAGTCTAGTGAGCAATGGGAGCAGGTCTGGGTTGGAAAATAGCTGGAGACTTTGGGGGGTGGAGCCAGGAGAGGGCGGGGTTTGGGGAGGGGAGGGGCCTCCGCATGGTACAATGCCATAGAGACCACCTTCCAAAGCAGCCATTTTCTCCAGGGGGAGCTGATCTCTGTCAGCAGGAGATCAGTTGTAAAAGCGGGAGATCCCCAGGCCCCACCTGGAGGCTGGCAACCCTAAAAATCCCCTAAATGCTCCTGGGAATGAAGGAGGTTTATGGGGAGCACAGTGGCTAACAGAATGAGCTGTGACCCTTTGGATTTTATCCCCATCAGTCAAGGTGAAAAATAGCTGGCACAGTGAAGGATGGTGTTAACTGAGGGGGTCATCTTGCTTTAGGGTTGACAGGTGCTGCCCCCCTGGTAGGGGATGGGTGGGCTGGTTTGGCAGATCCAGGCTGGGGAATTCCTGGAGATTTGGGGGTGGAACCTGGTGACGGGGAGGGACCTCAGTGAGGTCCAATGCCACAGAGTCCAACCTCCACAGCATCCCTCTTCTCCAGGGGGACCGATCTCTGCGGTCTGGAGATGAGCTGTAATTCCAGGGGATCCCCAGGTCCCACCTGGAGGCTGGCATCCCTGTCTCACTTGTCGCTCTTCCTCCACAGGAGCAGTACTCAGAGGAGGCGTGCAACTTCCGTGAGACGGTCCTCCACGATGGCTACAACCTCTACTACTCCGAACACTACGACATCCCTGTCAGCCTCAGCTCGAGGGGGGCCCTATCGCGGAACCGTCAGCTACCCCCGTTCTCCCAGTTCTTGCCCTTGGTCAACCGGATCCCTCTCGACCCTGTGTTTGTTGACTATGACTTCTATGAACAAGAGCTGGACGTCGAGTCTGCTGATCCCTTGAGCATGATGGGCCAAGCCCCCGGCTTCATGAGCCCCAGTTATGTCTTTTGATGGCCAAGGACTCCTGGGGTGTGTGATGCCAGACTTGAAAGACAGACTTTTTTAGAGCTTGGATGCTCGAGCTGCTTTTGCAGTAAAAAGTGCGAATAAAGCAATTCAAAGTCAGAGCAGGGGCGGGGTAAGAGAGAAAGTGGACTTTATTAGCTGCACTTGACATTAATGATTGATATTGTTGCTCTGTTCTGTGGACTCCCGATTCCCCAAACTGTCCGATGACACGTGCAAATGATGTACACGAGGGAGATGCCGGGAACATTCCACATCGATGGAGGCAAAATTCTTATTTCGTCGGACTGCATTTTTGGGTGGCGATCTTCTGTTGATGTTAGTTTTGCCGGCTTTTTATTTCTATTTTCTATCTATTTAAAATAACTTATTTATTTTGTGCTTATTTATTGGAGGTTGGAGGCAGTAGAAAGAGAGGGGAGGCTGAATGAGAAGACGTTATTGCCAGAAAATAATTTATATGTGGTTATTTATACAGAAATGTATGTATATTATTTTTTGCATATTTATGTCTGGTTCCAGAAAGGAAATCACTATTAAACCTATTTTAAGTCTGCGGCGTAGATATACTTTTTGCCTGGAGCTATATTTTAAATATTTTCATCCCACCATCCCTCCAAGGAAGTTAGAGCAGTATACACAGTTGCCTCATCTTCCATTTTACTCACTCTCTGAGGCAAATTAGGCTGGGGGGCGAGAATGACTGGCCCACGGTCTGCCAGTAGACATAATGGCTGTGGGGAATTGAACATGGCTCTACTACACCATACCGGCCATGTCTCTGAAGCAGCCGGTATATCCCTTATTTAAAAAAGAGAGCCAGTTTGGTGTAGTGGTTAAGTGCACGGACTCTAATCTGGGAGAACCAGGTTTGATTCCCCACTCCTCCACTTGCACCTGGCTGGATGACCTTGGGCAAGCCATAGTTCTGATAAGAGCTGTTCTTGAAAACAGAGCAGTTTCTGTCAAGAGCTCTCTCAGCCCCACCTACCTCACAGGGTGTCTGTTGTGGGGAGGGGAAGGGAAAGGAGTTTGTAAGCCGCTCTGAGACACCTTTGGGTAGTGAAGGGCGGGGTATAAATCCAATCTCTTCTTCTCTTCTCTTGTGGTCTTTTCCCCTCAAGAACAACATTAAAAACTAAGACACAGTTATGAGTTTGATCAGTCAAAGAGGTTGATGTTAGAGTGGATTCCGAGGCCCAATTCGTAAATTAGTTTCTGGGCAGGGTAGATCATGAATATTAAATTGGGAGTAGGGGGCCACCCCCAAGTAGACACTAGCTGCTGTGAATGGCACTCAGATGGTTTTAAGGGCAAAGTGGTTAATGCATCTTACCAATTAGAATATAAGTATGTTAACGTTATCACAGCCACCTCACTCTTCAAAATGTTTGTCTTTATCGAAACTCACTTTTTCTAGGAAACCTTTAATACAGTGCCTAAATCACATAAAGCTGCCAAGTTAGACCAGAGGTCCATAAAGCTCCGTTTTGCCTATTTGGACTGGGAGTAGCTCTTCAGGTTCGTCGCCAGAAAAAGAGTTTTCCCAGCACCAGGGCTCTTTTAGCTGGAGCCGCAGAGGACTGTCGTCAGGCCCTTCTGCACGCATGCTTCGCCATGGCCACCTCCCCAGACGTTAATGCCCACAGAGCCTACTGAAAAATTATGCCTAAGTGCTCTCAACAGCAATAAACACATTTTCTTCTTATGCATTCCCATCTCCACCTCCTTCCTTCCCCTCTGTCCCTTCATGCAAAAACTTCAGTTGTCGGGATCTCTGTCATAGTCTGTAAAATACACTGGGAGCACTGTATATATAAATAACATATTTTCTGGTATGTTCTGATTGAAATTGTATCAAATAATGCCCAAAGTATTTGTGATGTACATTTAGCACCGGGGGGGGGGGAATAATTTTTTTCTTTAAAGAATGGCTAAAGTGGTGGGTTCAAAAACAATAAAATGATCTCCAGCAATCTAAGAAGCATATCTTAACTTGGTATCTATAGCTAAGTAGCAATTGTCAATGGATCTCTTTGGGTTCACTGGTTCTGTCAGGGTGTAGACTTTCCAATTTCCCGGGGTGGTGGTGGCTGGGGCTGGGGCAGAGACATTGCTAAGGCATTAAAAGAACTGGGACCCAATGACATCATAGGGAGGAGCTAGTGACATCACAGGCATGGGCATTATCTATGGAGGTGGACCCATGTGGGGTTTAGGAATGGGCTCCCCAGAAATTTAGGGAGGCCTGGGAACCGCCCTAGCAATGTCCCTGGGCTGGGCTAACCCCAGGAACAGTTGCCTTCTTAGAACACTGCTTAGAAACTTAGAAAGCCCCCCCACACCCCACACTGGAATAAGAACATAATATCAGGCCATACCACATTGCAA